GCGCAAAAAAGAAGAGCTTAAAAAAGAACGTAAACATCACGGTAAATGGGACAGAAGATTTCAGAAGCCTTTAAGACAGTCTCATACAGAACAATTTAAAAATAGGTTAAACAGCTACCTAGATCAAGATTACTTTTTCGACCAATGTTTTGCCCTCGCTGCTAACGACGAATTGCCATATTTAAGAAAGAAGTTGGAGACAAAATTATGTACAGTTTTTGATTGACTTTTACTTATTACAAAATGACCCTACGAAGCAACAAATTCTCCAATCAGTCAAGAAACTTAGACATCAACACGATATGACTATCGCAAAATCTATTCGGCAAGCCGTGAAACTTAGAAAAGACCTGTTTCAGACGTTATGGCCTAATCATGACATCAACGAGAGCGATACAAATAATGACACTGAAAATCAGGAGACCTGATGAAAAAATTGTAAGAATGATCTGCGAGGATACCCAGTGACAGTGTGTGCCGCTGATCAAATTCGTAAACAAAGAGGAAAATTTGTAATTTCCAACACAGATACGAGTAATAGGCCAGGAAAACATTGGTTGGTCTTCTTTTTTTTCCTATGTACGGACCTAACGAATATTTTGACTCGTTCGGAAATAGCCCGGAAAGCTACGGCGTTGAATTTGAAAAGATAGTTAACAAGAAATATCTCCGGAATAACGGCCAACTTCAACAGTTTTCGTATAACGTGTGCGGTCTATACTGCAAAAACGTAATACACGTCATAAAACGATATCAGGGCAAGGCATTAAAAAGTATTTTAAAACAATTTGATATCAACAAAGGGAAGCGCAATGATCGCTTAATAGTGTCTAAAATGAAGAAAAAAAGACACCATGTCACAAAACAAGTGATTATTATTGAACCTTAAACAATATTTTGTATGAAATAGAAATAAAAATTGACATATATATCGTCTTTTGATTTTTATTTATGTGGCCCCTTTCTTAAGTTTTTACATCTTACTTAACAAATTGAAACAATACACCCCAATTTTTTTAAAGGGAAGATCTCACTGTAACAAACGCTTCTTCTATTTCGTCAATTACAAACAAGTCTTGTTAGGTATACTTATCCCCCAAATCATCTAAATCCATACTGATATTTAAAATTCTAAAGTGACAATGTTACTCGTTAAGCTTTTAAAATCGGAATGATCAAAATAATCTAAATGCGTTGTTATATACTCTCCACAGAGCCGATGCGTTCCTATTTTTAGAAAAGACGTCATGTTTAAACAATTTCAGTTTCCTTTATGTTAAATCTAAGACTTAAATATATATTTATTAATTTGTAAATGAAATATTGATATTTCGGTTATTCGTAACTTGAATCAAAGGTGACAGTTTATACATCATTTATAATAATAATAATATAGCTGGTTTTAAACATTCAAATCAAGCTCTTTTTTCATCATTTTAAGCTATGATGAATATCGTTTTATAAGTATCGGTTAATCAGCATGCAATACGAGTTACTATTCCCCATATAAAGTATTTGTTAATATAAAATACTGAATAATTATAATTATTGATAACGTATAAATATATGTCACAAATAAACTACAATTATAATCATTCAAATTTGTATTAGAAAATAGTAAACATTACCTTTTATTCATAAACCTACGCCACTGTACAGTTTTTTTAAAAGAAAACCTTGTTAAGGAGCTACAACAGAAATGGAATATCCGTGCATGGTCAATTTGTATTGGTCATAAAAATAATTAGCTACTCGCAAATCGATCTTTCGCTAAATTGGTGCGCGTGTGCATGTTTTCATTGAAATAAAATTGGAAACGTTTATTTCATATCGCCTATGGTTTAGTAATTACGATAATGTTTGTGAATAATGTCTGAAAATAATGACGCTTTTGTTTTCATACAAATATGACCATTAAGTTTCATTAGACAGAAATCGTTTATCGGAGGCGTGTGCCAATCCATGAAATTAATAAAATTTGTTTAAATATTATTCCAAACACCGATTTATTAAACGCTTAAAGAAGGGACATAACTGTACACAACAATATTAGTTACATTCATAATTGTAACTTCTCTTTAATAACAGGTAAAAGTTACTTTATAAACGTGTGCTGTGATGAGAATTTAAAAGCCTGATTGAACACTGGGCCTTCGTAAAATAATTGCTGTCAACGGCTTGTCAATTTCTCAACGTAATCATACTGGTGTCAATTTATACAAGAATCGCCAGACAGTTTTTTTGTTGATGCATATGTTATACATTAGTATCGAATATTAAAAATAAACAGTTAAACGCTATTACCCGATACTATACTTATAACGCTATTTTTCCGTAAAGGTTTGCAATTAACAAGAATATAGCGTGATGACTTTATAAACGTGATGAAAATTTAAACGCCTGATTTAACAGCAGGTTGTAAGTCAAGGACTTGTCAATTTCTCAATGTTATTTCACTGGTGTAAATTTCTACAAAGGTCGCCATACAGTTATAAGCTATTTGTCGTTTTTTCAAATATTAAAAATAAATAACAAACAGCATTTGAGTTAAAAAGAACAAGTTAATGAGTATAAAATACATATTCATTAACAGTATTAGTCATTGACATTTTTTTTTCTGAATACTACACAGAGAGAAAATAATTCCATACCTCCTTTTGATAGTTATCACGATAATGTTTGTGTATGAAATATAATAGCGTCTCTGTTTTGAACGAAAGTCTTAATAAGGGTTCATTCATAGTTTTAATGGTGTCATTAAGTTACAGAATGGTAAAACCCCCGACAGATACAAATTAATTAAATCACTGAAAAGCGTGTGTCAATAACGAATTGTCGCTGGGAGTATCATTAAATTATAAACGGAATCTGCAGGGGAAAAGGAATTGTTACAGTCGCTCTTAAATAATTTATGTTAGATTTTAAGGTAGCATTAATTTTTCATAGATAAACGAATTGGGGTCATATAATTATATAGGATTTTTAAATAAAACAAATTTAACTATAACCGATAAATTATGCTCATAAAATCTACAAACTACTTTATTTAAAGTTAAAAACATTAATTCGGCGCTTTTCATTTCTGTTTAAATTAGTTATAAATTGTACAAAGTATTTTCAATCAACATCTTATTTGGTTCAGTGCATTAAGTTTTAAATTGAATAGCCACGAGAGTTATACCTCCTTAAGCTATCATGGTCAGTTTGTATTGACTGATTTAAAGCGGACGTTAAATTGATCGGGTACTTGACATGATGCACTGATGACCTTTTTTATAGCTTATTACTAAGCTTGTAAAAATAGATTCATAATAATCGGTAGCATTAATTTAATATTTCTCTACTAAATCGAACCAACGTCTGAATATATAGTGTAAAGGTTCATGATTCATTTGATTTGTACATTTCATTCAATATCTGGTCATTCATTAAGGAACCCCTGGAACGGTGTTTTGAATGCAATGTAAAATAAAGCTAGATCTAGCGTATGTCTTTCCAATTAAAAAGTAATGTATGATACTACGTGACCAGACATTTTACTGAGTCAAATATGCAATTAGCGAAAGTTAATTTTGGACAAATTTATTAATAGGCATATGACGGGTTTTAACTTAACATTTAACAGCCTTGTTCCCGTTTTTAATTAATCGAATGACTAAGTAAACCGGCGCTTTAAATTGCGTATAATTGAGATAACACATGTCAAAATAATAACGGACCGTTGTAGCTATGCACTGAAAGGTTAACTAAGGACAACACAATTTCTATTATCGGTAAAGATGACAGCACGAAGTAAATAAACCGTTTTTTTGTGTACATTAAGTTTAACTTGACGTTATATAAATTTCAGAAAAAAGGCATAACAAACTGTATGTATTTACCAGTATGCTGTTTAAATAAATAATAAATTACATTGTTGGACATCAAAATTGCTAATGTTTTCTTGTTACAAAGTATCGATGTACCTTAAGGTGTATGTAACAGTAAAATGTAGCCATGTAATTTATATGCAATAAAGGGTCTTTTTTTAACGCATCGTCGATAAGAAATAATAATTTCGGTTTATCTGTTCGCCTTTTAATGAAATTCGATTTAAATAGTTATATTTGCATCAATCGTTAAATAATTTGGATTTATTATAATTTAACTAGTCGAGGAGCTAAAAACTCTAGCTCGGGTAATTTTCCGGAGATTATAAATAAAATAATGATGACATTCTAATTATAAAACGATGTTGGTGCTAATGAAAAAGCTCATGTTGAGCTAAAACAGATCAGTGGCTTATTTCATTTACGAGTTGGGCATCAAGAAAAATCCGAGGACATAAAATATTTAGTATAAAAGTAAAAGAACAAAAATTATTCGTGTAAAACATATCTTAATTACAAACGTTGGTTACATAGTTGGGTATCAAACGAAACGTTTTTGGACGTTTAATCGAACGCTTATGATCGATTGAAAGTAAAATCACTCGTACACATTTTTTCTCGTCTCCCTGACCTCAAGCTCTAAGTGTCAGCTCTGTAGGAGATATGATGTCATTTGTTAAGTCCAAGATGGCTGCCGCCGCCAAATATGGCCGTCGGAAGTGACCCTTATCCAAGACGGTGGGCTCACATTCGCAGTGTTTGGCGCCCAAGAGACCTATGTACTACTTTGCATGATATTTTCTTCAACATATCATTGAAATGTTGTGCGGTTTTTTTTGTACTCATATGCATTCATTTTTGTGGTTTTTGTTGCGGATTTATGATATCAGTTCCTCTTAAATGTCTTCATTTTCGAACATTTGTTTTGCAGGTTATATTTCAATCACATTCGTTTGGTCAATATTTACTTTTAAAGCATGATTAGTCCATTTGTAAGTATATGTCTGTCTCACAATCTATTTTCATCTGTCGTTAATTTTCATTACCTTCATAAGTTATTTAAGGTACTTATTAATAATTGTATTAAAAATCTTACCATTATAAATTAAATTAAGTATTCATAGTACTTACCTAGTGCGGGATGAACCGTCGAATACGTATTTGGAGCAGTGACAGACACTGTAAAATAAAAAATAAGGTGCATGTATATATTTCTGAATTTGTATAAAAACATATTTTTTCAGATATTACATCTAGAAGTGAACTGTACATTTATTGATCCAAGTCAACGTCATGTTCATCACTTCAATGGAAACATGTACTATTAATTATCATTATTGCATATAATGAGTGTTTTAATAATTATAAGGCCCAGAAGCTTCAAACCACTTGGCCCTCACCGTTGTGGGTTCGAATACCAACATGGATTCTTGCATCTGATGAAGCTATTTAGCCAGCTTTCGGAGCGTCGGTGGTTTTACTGAGGTCCCCGTTTGTGCCTAAAATAATGATTGGAAGGGTACCCGAGGTCCGCCTCCACCAGGAAAGCTTGAACGTCGCTATGTGACCTATACTGTGTCGGTGTGACATAAACACCAACCAAATAAATAAGCAAAATAATTGTTATAATATGTTAACAAATATCTTTGAAAAAAAACGTGTTGTATATTGACCTTTTGAAAATTAAGGTGAATATTGAATATATAATCATATTTTCACGTATTATTTATTCATAAGGGAAACTTGCTGTTTCAAAAAAATATCCATTGCAGGTCAAAAACGATTCCAATAACCAGACACAATACGTGTTAATTAACGATTCACTCGCTGTGACAATTGTAAATTCCGGATTTATTTTCTACACATATTTAAACTTTATATATAAAAAGGCATTAATAAAAATAGAGTTACTTTAAAGTGTATTGATAAAAAGTTTCATAAACCAACACAGTTTATCAGAATATATTTCGCGTAGTTGATTTGATAGATAACAATGGAAATGATGTAAAGCCAAATAAGAAACGCTTCATTTTCATCTAGAGTGTAAAATAAACCTGAAAAACTGTCCGTTAATGTTCTATACAATGAAATGTACATGTGTCTGCAGGTTTAATTATTTCAACAAGCACATAATTATGACTTAAGAATTTACGTAAAGATACAGTCTTTTTCACAGAGAAACGAGGCGGTAAATATATCTTAAAAATTCAGTTCATTATCTTCAAAAAATGCTTGTTTTCATTGAGTACATTAGGGTTTATTTGTTACGTAACTGTAATTATTATAAAACATGTAAAAGGAGACATTACTAAATGATTTTAACATTGACAAAAATAATGAATGTGAATTTACATTTAAACGAACTATGGGATAAACAAAAATCGCTGTCATCACGAAATCTCTTTGCAGTATACTCTGCCACCAGTGGGTAAAAGAGGTAACAATCTCGGTCTGGTAAGAGAGAAAAATAGTCAAAACGGAGGCACCCTTGTACATTCTATTTCGTTATCAATATTGACATTCAGTTACACTGTTAATTTCAATAGTACTAAATGTTTCAAGGAAATTCTTTTTCTTTTTGAAAAATAAGTATTAATATAAATAAAGATGATAACACTGATAACAGAACATCTCTTCACATCCCTTTAACACAAATTTGATTTGACCTGATTATGGCTTAACAATAGGTATTTAATTTGCAAGGCTTTCAGTGGCAATGTTTGTATTTCAATTTTTTTTTTAATTAATTTTTTTATTATTTTTATTTCATAGTTTCCTGTAGTGATTTTTTGTTAAAATTATCTAAACTTATTTTTATATTCGTTTTTGATATGATAGTACCAGTATTTCGAATTAAACACATTTCAAAGATGACATTTCAGTTGTTTTCCACTAATTCAAACTTGAGAAAACAACTTATTTTGTTGAAATGACTAGATAGGCCAAAACTAACTATAACAAGAGGACCATGATGATCCTATTAAATCGCTCACCTGAGACAGTATACTTGTTAATTTGGATTTTTAAAAGATTTGTTTTGTTTTTACTATATCCATATAAGGAAAATCAATGACATCCCTCTGTAGGGCCAATTTTGACCCAAGGGCTTTTATTTGAACTTCATTGGTAGACACCCATTAAAAGATGTTTCATGCTTAATATCTAAGTTCTAGCTCTTTGACCAATTTAAAAGATTTTTTTAAGTTGTTACTATATTTTAAAAGATTTTTTTTAGAATATAAATATAAGGAAAACCAATGAGCCCCGGGGTAGAGCCGATTTGACTCCAGGGCTTTTATTTGACTAAACTTGGTAGACACTCGCTAGAAGATATTTCATGCTTAATATCTAAGCTCTAGCTCTTTGAGTTTTTTAAAAGAAGCCTGTTTAAATTTTTGATATATACATATAAGGAAAACCAATGACCCCCTGGGGCAGGCCCATATTGACATCCATATATTCGGTAGCGCTTTCAATGCTTTCTTCGCATATCTTCAGTCGAAACTTAAATATATATTCTAACACGACCCGCATTTTCCCCCATTGAACATAGAAGAACCGAAAGTGTGTTATTATGCAGTTAAATCACAATTTGAAGTTCTATATTTAGACATGTGACTTAACCACTTAAAATGTGACGCGCTGAAAATAAGTACCACAATTTAAGTTAATATCAGGTACGGCAGCATTTATTTGCTGATGTCGTGTTAGAATCGAAATAATATATCCAAACGGATAAATTCAAAAAACTAATCGAAAAAAAATAGTCATTCGGGTGCGCATCATTATATCACTCGGGCTATAGTGATGTTATTCACGGTAGGGAATCACGTGACTTTTACGGTAACGCGTACAGACAATATGGCGGCCTAAATACCTCGCTTCACATGTGTTGTTCAGGTATTTTTATTATATCCCTTTTACTTTCATAAGAGACCTGTTGCAGTCTTCGCGGAATAAAGAATTGTTGTCGCCTATACATTATTTTCAACCCCTTTGCTTATAGCTTTTACAAACACCAAGAAATTCAACAGGAATCTTCTATGTGGACAATTCTTTTGCTGGTACCATTTACGCAGAATTTGCATCTTTTAAGAATTTGATTAAACTACGTCGAGTAAGCAAAGAGAAAGGGTTCATAGAATTTCTTTAATTGAAAATGTAAATTATAGGCATGTTAAATATTGACTGGCCATTTTGTATTCCAATACATGAGAGAGAAATTATTTGGGTAACGGACACGGGTACTTTTATTGTTGATAACTCCCACGCAATATTTTATGTCCGAGCAATATCTATGCATGTTATAGCCTAGATATTGATTTAACAAAATCATGATTGATGCATTTAGCCATAAACTTTCATAGATTTTTGAATAGTATCAAAAATACCGCCAAAGGTCCTGGATAAAGAATTGAGCCCCTAAGGGTAGCAGAATATATACTCACGAGAATATATTAAATGAAGTTTCGATATAGATGAATTAATTTCAGAAATTAAAACAAAAGTCTCAAATATAAGAAGGAGGTCGATTTCAGTTTAAGCACAATAACAGTTGTCATTTTTATATGCCCGAAAAAAATTCGGGCATATTATGTTATACCCCCTGGCGTCCGTCCGTCTGTCTGTCCGAGCAAACATTTTGGGTTTAGGGGCTATAAAGCAGTAAAGAGAAAAAAAAGAACAATAGGTTCATTCCGTGATCAAAGGGTTAAGGGGCTAGTAGCCCTTAAGAAAAAGAAAATAACAAAGAAAATAGCCCCTAAAGCCAAAATGTTGGAACGTCCGTCTGTCTGTCTGTCCGTCCGTCACAAAACTTGTCCGGACTGCTCCTCATAAACTACTGGTGCAATTGCATCCAAACTTTGCAGGAATGATCAGTACCAAGTGTAGTTGTGCATATTGTCAGCATTTTCCGGTTCAATGATTTTTGTCAGAGTTATGGCCCTTTAATTATTTTTATTTTTAAAGTTTCACCGGACTACTTCTCTTATACCACTAATGCAATTTAAATGAAACTTTACAGGATTGATCTGTAGCTCAAGTCCTTGCGCATATTGCACGGGTTTTCCGGTTGAATGGTTTTTGGCCGAATTATGGCTCTTTGATAAAAAGGTGTTTTTTCTGTATGTTGCCAGATACATAAAAGTTTGTCCGGTCTACTCCTTTTTGTCGCCTCTACGGAGTAGTGGCGACATATAGGGATCACGTCTCCGTCGTCTGTCTGTCCGTCTGTCTGTACGTCCGTCACAAAACTTGTCCGGGCTGCTCCTCATAAACTACTGGTGCAATTTCATCCAAACTTTACAGGAATGATTAATATTAAGTCTAGTTGTGCATATTGTCAGCATTTTTCGGTTCAATGATTTTTGTCAGAGTTATGGCCCTTTAATTATTTTTATTTTTAAAGTTTGTCCGGACTACTTCTCTTATACCACTAAGGAATTTCAATGAAACTTTACAGGATTATTCTGTAGCTCAAGTTTTTGCGCATATTGCTAGAGTTTTCCGGTTAAATGATTTTTGGCCGAGTTATGGCCCTTTGATAAAAAGGTGTTTTTTCTATGTGTTGCCAGATACACAAAAGCTTGTCCGGACTACTCCTCATAAACTACTGGTGCAATTTCATCCAAACTTTACAGGAATGATCAGTACCAAGTTTAGTTGTGCATATTGTCAGCATTTTCCGGTTCAATGATTTTTGTCTGTGTTATGGCCCTTTAATAATTTTTATTTTTAAAGTTTGTCCGGACTACTTCTCTTATACCACCTATGCAATTTCAATGAAACTCTACAGGATTGATTTGTAGCTTCAGTCGTTACGCATATTGCACGAGTTTTCCGGTTGAATGATTTTGGCAGAGTTATGGCCCTTTGATAAAAAGGTATTTTTTTCTGTGTTTTGCCAGATACACAAAAGCTTGTCCGGACTACTCCTCATAAACTTCTTGTGCAATTTTATCCAAACTTTACGGGAATGATCAGTACTAAGTCTAGTTGTGCACTGTCCGTCTGTCTGTCTGTCCGTCTGTCACAAAACTTGTCCCAACATGAAATTGGCCATCATGAGGCGACACATGTGATCACTGATCGCTCTTGTTTACTTGTGGACCATATGCCGCTTTTCATGGAATGGCACTAACGTTTTACATTTAAGCTTCCATGATAACTGCCATATG